TGAAAATCACAAAGAATTATGCATGTTTGTGGATGTTCATAAGCCGATTTTGAAATGGCTGGATAGGCAGAGGGCCAAGACTCTCTTGAAAAAGGACAGGGTAAGACTTGCTTTACCACACTGTCTTAGCTTGGGGCCCACTGGGATTGTGGGCTAACTGCATCTGTATAGGAAAGGGGGTGGAAGGACTGTCCTATGGGTGGTGAGATGTTCGGGAGCAGCCTGGCCTCTACCCACTAGATGTCAGTAGCACCCCCCACTTGTGAAAAGCAGAAATATTCTGAAGATGTTACCATTTGAATAACCTATGTAGAGAGGTTACAAAATCGTAACACAATGCCCCTGTGGCCCAGAATTGCCTCTGAGAACCACCATCTCTACTGGACATAAAGTTTTATTATCAAACAGTGTGACATTGGGACAGGGCTAAACAGTTGAATCAATGGGACAGAATAGGAAAACAAAACAAAACTGAAGTAGGCCCTCGCGTGCGTAGACACTGACTTTATTGTATTTATTACAATGGAATATCTGAGTGGAAATAACACCACACACAGAAACCAGCTTTGGTGGATTTTAGACACAAATGTGAAAGACAAAATGACAAAATTTTTGGAAAAGAATATACAATTATCTTTATGTTCTTGATATATGTATGGAAAGATTCTTTAAACAGACACAAGCACTAATCATGAAAGAAAGAACAATAAATTGCAATGTGCTAAAATTAGGAATTGTGTTGAAGATAGTGGGAAAAGAAAGCCATAAAGCAGAAGAAAATATTTCTAATACCCTTATCACAGAGCTCTTCTAGCTAGAAAACACAACAGATTTGTTAAGAATCAGCAGAAAAGACAGATACCCAATAGAGAAATATCATAGATGCTGGAGCTTGTACTTCACCAGTGTAGACATGCAAATAGCCAGAAACCATACGCACACACACTCAGCTTCGCAAATAATGAGATGAAACAGAGCAAAGCAGTGCAAGAGTGGCTAAAATATAAAGATAGAAACACGAAATAATGAGAAGCAACTAGAACTCTGGTATACTCCAGGTGGAAGTGTGAGCAAATCACTTTGGAAATCAGTCTGAGATATCTGCTAAAATTGAGTGCATGCATATCCTGTGATCCAGCATTCCATCCTTAGGTCTGGCCTAGAAACTCCGTGCACTTGTGCATTGAGAGACAAGTGCAGTCACGCTCACGGTGCATTATGTAAGAGACCTAAAGCGGAGGGGGGTCCTTCACTACCAGTACACTTACACAGTGGAGCTCTAAGTGGCAATAAAAATAACAGCACGAGTGACTCTTGCAAGCATCAAGTTCATTGACAGAGGCCAGCACAGAGGAATGTATGTCACAGGATGGGCGTGGTGACACATGGCTGTAACCTGGAACTCTGGGAGGCCCAGGTAGGAGGATCACAAGTTCAAACCCTGCCTGGGCCACTTAGTGATTTAGCAAGAACCTGCCTCATACATAAAATTAAGCAAGGGCTAGGGATGTAGCTCAGTGCCGGCCCTGGGTTTAATCTGCAGTACAACTCTCTGAATTTATGGCACAGTAGCATTTTATATAATTTCCTTGAACAGGCAGAACTAAACTCTAATATTATAAGAGATAACAGCAGTTTTTTGGCAATAGCTGAAATATGGAGATAATCCAGATGTCTGCCACCAGAGAATGGTTGAGTAAATTGTTATATTGTCACACAGTGGAATACTAATAACAAAGAAAGTGACAAACCCCAATATGTAGCAACATGGATGAATTTTTTTTTAACATGGATGAATTTTATGAAGACACTATTGATAGAAGCCAAACACAACAGAATATATAATTCTATTTATATAATTTTTAAACACAGGCAAAAAATGCAAACCCTTTAACTTTCAGGTCAGGACCTGCTGTCTTTAGATAAAGAGGTGGATCCGATTGCGGGGACGGGCCTCTGGTGATGGCTATTTCATGATCACCCGTTGAGCTACACACTCTTGCTGTGCCGTTGCTTCGTGTGTCTCTTACAGCTTTCCGTGGTTCGCAGAGTGAGAGAGACCCTGCTCTGGATTCCCCATGTGTGGATTTACATCCCAGCTGCGGAGTTTTGGGCAGTTTCCTTAGCTCTCGCCCTCAGATTCTTGTCTGGGAAGTGAGGATGATAGTCACATCCACACACTGAGTGCCGATTGCTAACTCCTGCTATTGTTTTTAGTGTTAGTGTTGGCGCCAGTTTATTTTTGCAAAGGAATTGTTCAATCCCTATTGAGATAGTGTTCTATTTATAAATCCATCATGGCTCTCTGCGTAGGCGAGCTTTTGTGTAGGTCTCTCAGAAAAGTTTATCTTATTTACTGTAATGCACGTTATTTCATAGGTTAATCACTAGATTTTAATAGATGTATTTTATAATTATAAATTGAATATTCTTTGCCTTGTATTTTATAATCGATTATGGCTGGCATATAATAGCTACTACTTGGTATGATTTACTGCTGCCACATTGATTCTAAGTGCTACATGGATTAGCACTTTTAATCTTGTGTAAAATCCCCTCATTTTACACAGGTAACAACTGAGAAAAAGAGAAAATGACACCTACTGTGTGGCTTGGGATTAATTGTGGTCTCAGAGTTCACATTCATTTTAACCATTTGATAACTAGCTATTTTCTCCTAATCTAATTTTTTAGTTGATGGTGTTAAGTTTTCAAGAAGCCAGTTGGATTATTTGCAGTTAGTCATTTTTTGTATACTTATTAGTAATTCTCGTCCTGGGCTTTTTACCTTGACTACAACTTGCAGAAAGTGTTAAAATAAAAAATAATACAGTGAATGGTCTTTTATAGTCCGACTAAAAAGGACTGCCTTTTTTCAACCACTATGAATTTCATGGACTATTGGCTAGAAAATGTTTTTCTTTACATTAAAGGTGTGTTTTGGGTACTGGGGATTGAACTCAGGACCTTGAGCTTGCAAGGTAGGTGCGGTGCCACTGAGCTAAATTCCCAGCCCTAAAGATGTGTTTTTTAATATTTGAATTTACCAGATGGTTTTGACTTGTTCTTTTTATTTTAAAATCATGGTTGGCTTTTGAACTCTGTTCAAATGCCTTTGGATATCTAGGAAGATGATAGTTTTTCCGTGTTGAAATTGTAACATGATGCACTGTTACCATGTCTGACACCCTATATTGAATCATCTTTATAATCTTAGAATTTTTAGCATTGTACTAAATTTTATCTGCTCAACTTTCTCTAAGATTTTTGCTTATATAAGTGAGATTGGTCTGCAGTTTTCTTCTTTTCTTTTTGCTTTTTTTTTTTTTCATTTGACATTGGAAGAATTCTAGCTATGTAAAGGGGGCCCAGAAGATCTTTCTTTCCTTGCATTGTCTAAGGTCTTTCCAAAGGAGCTTTTAAGTATATATGAGTAAATATGCTTGGAAAACACTATTTTCTGATATACAGTGGACCCTTGACTTATGAACTCAGTTCATTCACAGTTGCTGGTTGCAACTCAGATTGATTAACTGAAGGCTCAGGCTCCTCTGCAGAGCCTTCAAAGTCTCTCTCCTGTACACAGGCGGATCTCAGTGTCCTTGGAGAGACATTGGCCCAGGATTTCTCAATTAGCGCCACACAGGAAAGGGTGTGGTAATATTCCTTTCAGACCTCTTTAAGGATTAGATCTGTATCTGAGACCATCTGGAAGCACAAGTGGCCAGCATTCAGGTCATAACTCAAGACTTTGGTTGTAAGTTAAAACTAAAATTTTGGTCATAACCCAAGTCATTTGTATGTCAGGCCAGTCATAACTCCAGGATCTAATGTACCTGCTGAACATTCTTCATTAAAGATCTCTAAGTTTTCTTTTCTTTATTAAAGATCTCAAGTGTTTTTAAAAAAATATTATTATTAACTGTGGAAGATTTCAAACAATACAAGCCAGACATGGTGGTGCACACCTGAAATCCCAACACTCTGGGAGGCTGAGGCAGGAAAATCACAAGTTTGAGTCCAGCCTGGGGAACTTAATGACTTAGTGAGACCCTGTCTCAGAATAAAAAAGAAAAAGGGCCTGAGGATGTAGCTTAGTGTGAAGGCCCTGGGTTTAATTCTGAGTAGTGACTGCAGACAAACAAATGGAAATATAAACAATAATAAAGAGATTCGAGTCCTTTTATTCATGTCTTCATTTCGCTTTTCTGTCCGTTATTTTGGGCCTTGCTGCTTACCTGGGAGTTTGCAGGTCATGGCCCCCCACACCCGTCACCTTTGCCATTTTCTGTCGGTTACAAGCAAGTCGCACTTCCTGCCTTCACTCAAGGGGAGGGCCATACTTTACACATTAAGCTATCAATAATTTTGTTGTGAGAACTTTGTCAGTAAGTCTTTGTATCTTTATAATCATTTCATTTGGATCCAGGAGGGGAGCTGCAAAGTCAAAGGGTGTAAGCTTTTTGGAAAGTAGGTACATCTTTTGGTTACGTGGTAAACAAATGGGAACACTGACAGTCCAGAATGCGCCTTCTCTGTGAATGAAAAATGCCGAAAGATTATTAAATAACAGGAAAGCAGGAAAAGAAGACAACAGTAATAACTCTTGTCATTAGCAGTTTGAGTGATCATTACCCAAAAGCCTAAAGGTTATTTGAATTAATTTTCCCACAGCCTAAAACCATTTCATCAATTTGCCATTTCTTACTAAATCTAATTGTGTGTGCATGTCACAAACCTATGGGCACCTAACGTAGTGTTAGATGTTGTGAGGGACAGAAAAGACATATTTTCATATCTGTGCCTTCAGTAAGGCATGTGAGAATCTTATTCATGCTGATATCTTCTTTTCGTCTGTCCCTCAGATGTAACTTCAGTTTACCTAAGTTCATGCTGGGCTTCACCTAACCTGGGTTCTCTATGTATTGGAAAGTTTGAGAATTTTCTGAATAGATGACTTCCACTGAAATGACAGCCAAGTTGACTTTCCTTTGTTTCAGCCACAGCGCACTGTGTACAGATTGACGCTGGTGAAGTCCTGGAATGTGGATGAACTCCAGGCCTATGCTGAGCTCGTGTCCCTGGGATGTCCCGACTTCATCGAAGTGAAGGTGAGCCCTGCTGCTAGGCTTGGACTTATCTTGTCTTGGCACTTTGCTGGCCGTGATGCAGTTGAATGCTATTATAATTATAAGGGAAACCAGATGTGGGGGTGTGCACATGTAATCCCAGCACTCTTGGAGGCTGAGGCAGGAGGATCACATGTTTGAGCCCAGTCTGGTCAACTTATCGAGACCCCATCTCAAAATAAAACACAAAGAGCCAGGGATGTAGCTCAGTGCAAAGACCCTAGGTTCAATCTCCAGTATTCCCCCTACTCCCATCAAACCAAACAAAAAAACCTCTAAAGGAGCTCCTAGGCATTTTGTTTTCCTATTCCTTCAGCAGTATTGAGAGCCTGGTGCTGTTCTAGGCATTGGGGATAATAACAGTAAAGAAGATTAAGCTTTTGCTCTCAGAGAGCCTGTATTTTAGTCAGAGATAGACAACACAAAATGAATACTTTCACACAGTGACACTGAGCTGAGAAAAGTCTTGTAATGAGTAACTGGTTGACCTTTAAATAAACTTTGTGAAGTTTGTTCAGACATATTCAGACATATTAAGCAGTAGATGGGTGGTGTGCTGATCTCCCATCCATCCATCCGTCCATCTGTCTTTCCGTCCGTCTGATTGTCGCTCAGCTTTGACAGTTATGCAGTTGTGACCAGAGCCCTGCTCTGAGATTGAAGGCAGGGACAGAGCACACCTCGAAAGCACTCTGACCCTGAGCCGATTTGTGGCCTTTGTCTCTCTCGGGTCTGCTGTGGCTCTGCTGGTTTCTCCTGGTCTCACCCGGCTCGGCTCGCTGCAGCCCCCAGCACTGGGCCGTGCATCCCGCTGTGCCAGCCTTATCTCCAAACGTACGCACTCTTAAAGGCTCTTGCTCATCGTACGAGGCTCACACCTACAAACTTCATTATTGGAACACAGAGGTTTCACATTTTACAGATTTCTTTTTATTCTAGAAACAGTTTTTATTCTGTAAACTTAGTACTATTTAAACTATTTTTGACTCAGGATCCAAATGGAGGTTATAGTCTTTCTTTCCTAAACTTCCTTTAGTTTCTCAGTTCCTCTTCCATTCATATTTCCTCATTATTTTGTTAAAGAAAATGGATCTATTAAAAAAGAGGGTGAGGAGAGAGGAGCAAAACTGATGAAGATGGAATAAGAATGGTGACTGGTTCGCCATGCGGATGCTTAGATTTTGTCAGTTGGTTGCCCCTCTGGCCCTTTCCTGTGGATTAGCAGTTAGAGCAGAGCAAGTAGTTAGGTCGTACCCTAAGAATGTTTCCTTGGTTATGCTGAATATATTGTTAGACTAAACACCTGCTTGTCTCCTTCCTATTTTTGCCAGTGTTTTACGGGGTGGGGGCGGAATTTGTCAGTGCGCCGCTGGGTAAAAGGGTGAATGCATATGCATTGTGCCCCATCTTGTCTTTTGCGGGAAACCTGTTCACCAGGTCCTGAGAGGCCCGGCCACCTGGGCTTGGGCAGAGAGCGCCGGGTCCTGGCAGTGCCCTGGAGGTTGGCAGTGGACCCGATGAAGCAGAGACGCGGGCGGAGCCGACTTTGCTAGGCCTTTCAAGTGAAGATGCGGGCATTGGGTTTTATACAGTTTAGCAGTAAGCTTATAAAATATCAATGTTGAAGCCTGGGAGCCACGCGATAGGATTTGAAAGCGCTCCCTGCTGCTGCATCACGAGTGGACAGCAGAGGGCAGTAGTGGCCTCAGACGGAGGAGGAACCTTCTGCTTAATCCCAGCAAGATGATGTGGTTCGAGAGCAGTTGGGCAGGTTTAGGGGCAGTTTTGAAAGTGTCGCAGACAGGATACATTGATAGATTAGATGTAGGCGTGGAAGACGAGAGGGGTCAGGAAAAGCATCCGTGTTTTGGCTTAAGCAGTCATGTGGGAGGTGGGACTTACTGAGAGAAAACGGGGAGAAGTTTGGGAAGAAACTGTTAAGTGAACCCCATTGGCCATGTTAGCTTTGAGCTGCTTTTAAATGTCCAGGTACAGGTCCCATGAGGACATAGGTTTGTACAAGCGTGGGGTTTGGGGTGAGTCAAGAGTGGGTAGCGATTTGGAATTCATCCACGTGGGCTGGCAGTCAAGGCTGCGGGGTGTAAAGAAGCGAGGCAAACGGGAAAATGTACCCCGACTCCGAAAGCAAAACCAGCCTTTTCCAGTGTGTGTTTTCGCAGATGCCCTCCGTGTTGTAAGAGAGGATTTCACCCCTCAGTTCGGGCTTCTGTGCTCCGGGAGGGTGGGGAGGCGGGGACGAATGAAATACTGCTCTCTGAGCGCGGCACCGACTCTCCCTGGTGGGGCCAAAGCACTCTTTTCTTTCGAAATTGCTTTTGATTTCAAATGGTTACTCTTGGCAAAAGGTTTAATGGTGCAGAGATACAAACTACATCTGAAAATATATGTCCCAGTTTAAGAAAACCTTGCCAACATCAGAGATTAGTGGTCTTTTAATTTATGATTTAGCTATTAAAGAATGCGTCCTCAAATTATGTTGCAGTAAAATCTCTATAATCATAAAGCAACTTGGCTGACGACTTGTCACCTTTTTTCTTCCTTCTTCTTTCTCTGCCTGCATCTCTCTCTGTTTTCTATAGTGGAAAAGGTATAATCAGAAAGTAAATATATTTTGAAGGAAGATGATTACTTCGTAAACAGGATAATTCTCTGGAGGGCTTTTTTTTTCTAGTTTAGCATTAACATTACTATCTAAGATGTTATAAAACATGTTTTTTTCCCAACAAGTTTCCCATTTTACTGTTTTATTCCCATATCCAGCAATATTTGTAAGCCCTCTTCATGTGCCAGCTCTTGTTAAATGACTGGAAATAAAAAATAATTGATACGGACATGCTTTTTAAGAGATGAATATCTTCTTGAATAGGCATAATCTACAAAAGTAAATTGAGCTATTTTGAGAGATTTAATAATTGAAAATTCTTAGAGAAATGTGTAATCAGAACATAATTTAATGGTTTTATTTTTTTGGGGGGGGTACTGGGGATCGAACTGAGGACTTTGCACTTGTGAGACAGGGAGCGGCACCACTGAGCTAAATCCCTGGCCCAATTTAATGTGTTCTTAATAGTGAAGTATAGTGTAATAGATAGCAGTCTGTGTTGTATCAGGGGAAAACGTGGCCATGACCAGCCTGACTTCTGTAGAAGACTTCAGGTGGAAATGTCCTGCCGTGTCAGGTGCCTCGTCGGTCCAGGGTTAGAGCACATGCTTTGTTAACTCATTTCTCTCTCTAGCAAGGTAATAAAGTGTCTTTCTTTTGGAGCAAAACAGCGAAAGGAATATAGCATACTACTAAAAGATAAGTTATGGAAGAGTGTTTGTGATTATATTTTCAGCTGTGTATGTTCATAAGTACATAAGGATGGGTGTCTGGTTGCTAATAGTGTTCTGTTTGGGAGAAAGGGAAGGAAAGACTTAATAAGTTTGGTTTTCATAATTCTGTATTGGTCAGTTATTACAGTGAGCACGCATTACTTCTGTAATTTAAAAGACTGAAGTGGGGCTGGGATGCAGCTTAGTGATAGAGCACTTTCTGGTTCCGTAAGGGGTTGTGCAGGTGTTAGTGGTAAGAGTCGAGATCACTGAGTGGAGAAGTCATGTTTTCCTGCTCAACAGGATGAAACTGCTTAATGTCTAAAATCTCATCTTTTTGTTTTCTTATTAAGTTTAAATTTTTTTAAAATGGAAGTGTTTTAAAAATAATAAGTCCTAAACAATCTGAAAACCACATTTGATGAGAACTAGCAATATGGCAGGCTAAGATAACCAGAAATCTCTCCAGAAATAAACACACAGAATTGATATGTTAGGGGAAATGTACTTTTGAGAACACAGCTGATCTACCAAGTCTGTAAAGAAAGCCCTTGGGGGCAGAAGAAAGGAGATTGTTCTGGTGGTCCCCTGCAGGTCCTATGGGGACTTCGGCTTAGAGGAAGGTTGTACCCTTTTGCTGTCATTGACTGGCTGGATTAGGAAGAAGTCTACCCACCTACCCAGACTAGCACTTGGAAGGCTTGTTCCTTACCTATGCTTTTGGTAAAAAATGAAGTCTTCCTAGACTCCCATTTGAACCTCAGAGGGATCTGGAGTTCAATTTTTTTTTCCCCATTAACTTTATTGGTACATTTTAGGTATAAAATACAGTTACATTCATCATTGGGATCTTGTACCATTACATGAGTCTTTTGGTTCTTATTTTTTTTCCCCTTCCCTTGCCCTCCCTTCACCCCCTCCACCCTTCCCTATTTGCAAAGACCTTGTTTCCATTTTTTTTTCCTCTGGAGTTCAAATTTAGTAGTACCTCAAGGTTACGTAAGTGACCAAGATGTGTAATTAATGATACACATTGTTCGGGGCTGGTGATGTACCTAGGGCTCCCTGCAGAGCTACACGGCACACGATGCTGTTACAGTCTTTTTATGCATTGCTTTTGGGGGGGGGCACTGGGGATTGAACTTGGGACCTTGAGCTTGTGAGGCAGGTGGCAGCACCACTGAGCTAAGTCCCTGGCCCAGGTTGCTTTTTATTATTTATATAGAAACGTACGTGTGTGTTCAGAATATTGTGCTGAACTGTTTACAGATTACTAAATATACTTTAAGTTTCTCACATATATGTTTGTCCAACTTCTTTCTGTCATTTTTGTCTTCTAGCTCTAACCTAGCTTAGTGGTAGGATTAGGAGCTCCATAGGAAATTCTGTCATCCTTTTTCTATCTTCTTCCCATTTTCTCTTTCATCTTATTTGTGAGCTTAAAGGAAAAGAATCTCTGTATGTTGGTTGTGTAAGTCATGGTATTAACACCCTTGGGTCAAGAAGGGAAATTGTCAGTTAGGGGTGGTGCTGTGGCCAGTCTGCCCTCACCATCTCCTCACCCACCATGTGTACGTGGGGGTCCTGGGGGTCCCTCGCGGTCCCTTGTGGGCTGCACGACCTGCGGTCTCAGATGGGGAATTGGAAGAGCAGTTTGAATGCATTCCTGAAATGTAGGGATGTGGCTTGGGGCGGATTACTTAATTTCCTTGAGCCTAAATTTTCTCAATACTACAATACAAAAATTAGAATAATAGCATCTGTTTAAGAGGTTTGTTTTGAGAATTGGAGTAGCCTATTCCTGTGTTCAGTAAATGTGGAGATCACTTTCCATTAGGGACACTTACTGAAACTAAGTAAAAAGAAGCTATTTCTTTATTATATTGATTTCCTCTTTTCTTTCCTTGCCAGTCTTATAAACCATTTTTATTATATTCCCTGTAAATTAACATGTATTTTAGCTTCATTAGGCTTAAGTAGGCCTTTCTTTGCTAGCCTGAGACTCTTAACTGTCATTTGCTTGCTTGTTTGTAAAGATGTGTTTCATATTACAAACATCTGCTTTATTGAAAACTTTAATAACACAATCCCTTTGTAAGTGAAAAGCTGTCATTGTATTCTCTGCCTCACATCACACCTTGAGAACAGTAAGTGCTCAGTAATTATTTGTTGTCAAATGATTTCACCTGCTTTCCTTAGCGTTGTGCCTGTCTTCGGTGCTCAGTCTTTGCAGCACGAGCCTTGCAAAATGATTGTCCTAGCATAGCTCAGGCTCTTTCTCCACACAAGGGTACGGGGCCTGGCTGTTGTTCACTGACGCAGCAGTGCCTAAGTCCTGTTTGGCAGTTGGTCCATAATCAGAAAAGAGTAGCAAACCCTGAGTAATACTAATGAGAGAGTGTGCTAGAAGAGCTCCAGAGGTTGCTGCTGTGCAGAAGTGTAGGGCTCGATCTTGGCTCCCAGAGCTCAGGCTGCTGCCTGGGAGCTCTGAGTGTGGTCCCAGCCTCACACTGGTCACCTGGTGCCGGGTTTGCATAGGTCGCGATGAGGCCAGGTGGAATAAGGTCCCTGGATGACTAGGGCAGCCTGGCTTGGGACACTTGGGGGTGTGGGGGATGAGCAAGGGCTTAGGAGTCCCTGATTAAAAGGCTACAGAGGAAGGTGAAGAAGGTTCAAGTGCCATGCCGAGACACTGGGGCTAGGTTTGGCGCGGGGGGTTATTGGAGCATTTTTGGGTTAAAGCAGTGACATGTTTTGGGTATATAGCCAAAAAGTACTTCATGATGTATTTCTTTAGTCATCAAACGATAGGGAACATAAACAGTAGTAGGAATCTCTTGACATCCAGTCAGTTTAAGTAGAATATCAAATAGTCAAACTGTGGAAATACTGCTACTCCCTCAGGACATGAATCCCAAAACAAACTTCCCAAACAGCCAGTAAAACAGAGCCTTTATGGCTCCCATCTCGCAGAGCAGTGAGATGCATGAAAAAGTCACCAAGTCACCAGGCGCCAGGGCATGGATGATGTGCTACGGTCCTGCTCTCCCAACTCCTTTCTGTCTCGTAGATTCTAGAGTGAGTGACTGTTCTTTGAGCTCCACGTTGCAGCCGTTTGTTTTCCTCAGGTTGTCTTGGTTCACAGCTGTCGGGGAGGACCTTGCTGCTGGTGATAAATGGGGCGATGGAGGGGAAGGTGGCAGACAGCCACGATACAAGGGGAAAACAAAGTGGCATTAGATAATTCAGGGTCAGCTGTGCTCAGGAGTAAAATCAGAGCAGAGCCATCAGTAGACTAGAGTGTAGGCTGAAGAGAAATGGGTGAAGCAGGGAGGCCACCAGACCTTGAAGGGTTAGGGTTAGGAGCCAAAATTGAGTGAGAGTCATTCACCGTTCACCGGTGACCCGAATCCCAATTCCCTGAGGCCATTTTTTGCCCAGAGCATTTTTGTTACAACAAAGCGCTAGCTGACCCAGTACTGTTTACCTCAGAGGGTTTTGACTGAGTAAACGGAGAACTTCTGGGTGGAAGGGCCGTATAAATTATGAAGCATCGTAGACTGTCAAGAGAAGTATTCTGTGAAGGCGTTAATGAGCCATGGCGTTCATTTTCTTACACTATTTCCAAACCAAGTCTCCCTTAATGTTTCATCATTTATTATTGCTGAATAAAAAAGTATTAAAATATTTTCAAGAGTCATTGTCACAACTACACAGTCTTATCTGAAATCTCCGTGCTTCAGTGAACTTTTTAAATATTAAAAAGAAATTCCTTTGAAATAGCTATGTACATGGTTGTATAATTCATATAAACGGTATTTAAATTGAAGCTAAGTGTATTTTATGACCCATCAATAAATCATATTCTATTTTCTTATGCATTTGGGAGAGTTTAGCAGTTTTTCAGCAATACTTTAATGGTATTTTGAGCTATATTATTATTTGCTTTTTAAAAAATTCACCTATAACACCGTTTAATGAATTCTGTAAATCAGTGGGCAAATAGAGAAGGTTTGCTTGTTTGTTGTAATTAAGCTGACTGTGGGTAGTTTATATTCAGTGAAGCCCATCTCGGTTTAGTGTACCAGTCATCCTTTTGAACAGCCATCTGGAGCAGTGCATTTCACAGAGCTCATCGGAGTCTTCGGCCAAGTCCCAGCTCCGCCATCAGTGGGGCAGGGTCACTGCAGCGCTCATTTGTGGGCTTTTAAAATTTGATGTCATTCTGCCTCTTCCAGTCTGTGTGTGTGTGTGTGTGTGTGAGTGCTGCATGTCCCTTTTTATTTCATTTTTAATTATCTCAATGACATTCAAGCCACTTGTCAAGAAAGTTTGATTTTGGGGTATTTGAAGAGTTCACAGAATTAAGAAATCCCTTATTATTAGAACATCATTCCTGTGTCATTATGTAATTTACCAATCAGAGAACTAGTTATGAAACTTTTGAGATATGCCTAGGCTGTCAGGCAGAGTTCAAAAGAGTTAGAAGCCGGCTTATCTTATTCTGGTTTTATTTCTAGGAATTCCTATACTGGTGGGATAAATTATGTATGTGTGGGTGTCTGGTGGGGTATGTAGGTGTATCCACAAATATATTTCTCTTTTGGTGTGATTCTTTGTTTATGTGTATTCCTATTCAAAGTGCATCACAAAGTGATCTCCCTAAGGACAATCTCAAAGGGATCCCTATTTGGCCCCTTACAGAAAAAGCATAAAAATATGGTTTCAATCTCAGTTATACTGGGGAATGGCAGCTTGCCTCATTTTCCCAGTTATTTGGTTGGTCAGTGAATTTTTCTGGGTGTCTGAAGTGTGCCAGTCTCAATCTCAGTTATACTGGAGAATGTATTCATTCACTATTATGTGCTAGGGCAGTGGTGGAGAACCCACGGCACGCATGAGGCAGTGGACTGTTTGTATCATTGAAAGCTCTAGAAGGTTCGCTATCACTGGACTAGGGGATTGTGGGTCCTTCAGAATTATTCTGCTACAGTGCACAAGTGACTGCAGGGGAAGATACGCTGTTGATACCAACATATTATAGTGCCTAGATAGCAGTGGGGTCACAGTGCAAAACACAGGAGCTCATTGGCTTGGGTCCCCTGGTGCTGCCTTTGTCACCAACACCTCGTATGGTCTCCTCAGCAGTCATTATCTGTCTCCTTTTTCATTTTAAAATCTGGGTTGGATTGGATTGGATTAGATGACCGTGAGGACTTTTGGGCCCTGAATTCTTACTCTGTGACCATCCCTGACCATTGTGATGTTCCCGCAGGGTGTCACCTACTGCGGAGAAAGTTCAGCAAGCAGCCTGACCATGGCCAACGTGCCCTGGCACGAGGAAGTGGTCCGCTTTGTCTGGGAATTGGTGGATCTGATTCCTGACTATGAAGTTGCGTGTGAACACGAACATTCCAACTGCCTCCTGATAGCGCATAGAAAGGTAAGTCACTCAAATATGCAAGCGTCTGTTCTCTTTATCCTTTCTTCTGCTTTTTAATTTACTTTCTCCTCACTTTATTACGGTGAATATCAGCTTTTCTGCTACCTTTCCTAGAACAAACATGAACAAAATCCTAAAAAGAAAAAGCCCTGAATTCCTTCCTAAGGTTCATGAACTCCTCTGTGGGAAATTGCTTCTGTTTTTAGCCCTCATCTAGCCATCTTGAAGTGCTTCCTGGTTTGGAATTTTTAGAAAGGTACATGCTAAAAACAAAAACAAAATACCCTTGTAATAACCTCTAGTCCTTTCTTGGGATGACAAGGAAAAGCTGAAATAGTAAACAACCTCCATATGAGGTTCTGGCTGTCAGAAAAAATATTGAGATATTTATCAAGTTTCAGATTGCTTTGAGTTTTGGCATCTGGAGAATTTTGTTTGGGATTGTAGTTCATGATACTATTTCTGCCTTTCTCTTTAGTGCTTTTATTTGTCAGAACAAATACCCTAATCTGGTGTCTTTTTAAAGTAAGAAATGCCTAGCAAAGGAAAAATGTGGTTCTTGGTAGAGGTAGGCCACTCAACTAAGAAGAAAAAACCCTTCGTACAGTACCAGTGTTCATGGAGCTGCCATAATGGTTATATCCTTGCTCAAGTGCTGACAAAGAAATAATGGTATTTGGGATTTGACTCAAGCTAATATAAGGTGAGAAGGTCATGGGTATGTGGATGGCTGAGACTAAATAGTCATTGTACTACTCTGCCTAGTTTTCTGTTAACATTCTCCATTAAAGAAATTCTTTTAAGAAATGGACATGGGTAAACCTTGAAAATAGAATTTCTAGGTGAAAAATGCCAGACACAAAAAGGCAGGTATTGTATGGTTGCATTCATAGGAAACCTTCAGAGTAGGCAAATCCACGGAAACAGGAAGTAGATTGCTGGTTGCCAGAGACTGGAGGAAGAACAGACTGGAAAGTGACTGTCAGTGGGTGTGGGCTTCTTTTTGGGCTGATGGAAATGTTCTGGAATTATAGTATGTTGGTTGTACAACTTCATGACTATATTGAAAACCACTAGATTGTACACTTTAGAAAGCTGAATTCTATGGTATGCGAGCTGCACCACTGAAACAGTAAGTTAATAGCAAAGTAATGTCAAGAATGAGCTCTGTTTTCTGTTTATCTAAGTGCTTTTTATGTAAGTCAAGTCAGGCCTAACTTGAACAATGGAAGCCTCACTCTTCCCCTCCCAATAGCCTAAGTGCCTTCCTGCACAACTGCTCAGGTTAGTGATATTTAATAATATGGGAATCATTTGATTAAAATTTCACAAACTCTGGTCTCAAATAAGCACGAGGTAAGAAGGCTAGTCATTGATTGTATACCTGACGTGCGGTCTGTCACAGACCTAACTATTTAGGAAGAACGTGTTCTGGGAGCGTCAAGAAACAGCAATGGGCTCAGTGGTTTTGGCATTTGCTGAGCAAGCGCAAGGACCCGAGTTCGATCCCTGGTACCAAAAAAAAAAAAAAAAAGAAAGAAAGAAACAGCAACAAAGACCTGAGGTTTGCAGTGTTAAAGTAGCTGCAAAGAGAATGAATTTACCAAAATAAATCTTAAAAAAATAAGAACAGAGGAGAGCCTGAGGTAGTGTGTCACTGTTTTGCTTAATGCTTGTTGAATATCCATGCGTGTCTGGTGCTGCTCTGGACACTAAGAATGAAAAGATGAGTTAAAAATGGCCCCTGCCTTCAAAAATGGTCTAACAGAAAACTAGGTAGGTGAAAAAAGTGTCCAGAAGTGGTATGAGAGCCACCAGGAGAGGCTTCATGGAGGAGCTGCTGTTTACCTGGATCTGAGTGAGGCCCCAGGAGGAGGAGCATTAGGAGGAGAACACGCGAGAAGACATCCTTGGAGAAGCACAGAGCACACTGGAGAACCATGGGAGTTTGGGCAGCTGGAGGTCAAGAGAGGTGACAGGGAAAGGGGGGCTTAGGCTGAGGCAAGATCACAGATAGCATTGAATGGCATCTGAAATGCTTTTTCTTGGGCTTGGGAGGCACTGCAGGGTTTTAAGTAGGGAAGTGGCTGTCTAGCAGCATTATAGGGGATGGATTTGCAAAGATGTAAGACAGAGAAACCAGTTACAAAGTGGTGTAATAGTTCAGTGATCTGAGGGTGAAATGAGGATCCAGTATACAAAGGGTGGGGGAGTGGAGAGGCACCGGGTGCTCTTGGCAAAGTGTTAAAACAAGAGCCCGTCTGTCACACACACGGGAGGGCCCCAGCATGACTCCCTTGGAGTAGTGTGTTGTCTCTCATCACAGTTGTTTGCACATTTGCTTTTTATTTGTTTCTTTGTGGTCATATAAGTGAAGAGCAAGGAAGTTGGCTGCACTACCTGGAAATCCTGTTCCTTTAAGCATGTAGATAGAAGATTATGGAATCCAGGTTAAGAGAGATGGTGCTTGTGATGCATACAGTGAGAGAGATGACCAAGATGTATATTCCAGGGTGCTTTGAAATGGATTAATGAAACACCAGCCACACCCTGACACATGTGTTCCCAAACTTTCTCATTCATGGCATTTTTCTTTTTTCCCTTAAGTTTATTGGTACATTTTAGGTATACAATACAGTTACATTCATCATTTGGATCTTGTACCTTTACGTGATGTACCTTGGTTCTTATTTTTTTCCCCTTCTCCTACTCTCCCTTCACCCCCTCCACCCTTCCCTATTTGCAAAGACTTTGTTTCTATTTTTTTCCTTTTCTCATATTTTTCTTTTCCCTTCTTTCCTTTCCCCTACCTTTCCCACTTCCCCTACTCTTTTAGATCTTTTCTTCTTATTACACCATATCAATTATACATTGTTTTAATTACAGTATCAGAATTTAGAGGACATTACCACAGATTTTACAGAATTTAAAAGGATATAGAAACCGTATCACAAAAATCTGTTTTGAAATAAATTTGACAACTTCTAAGAAGTACCTTGGAAGACAAAGTAATGAAACTGACTCTGGAGGAAATATAAAATTTGAATAGCACCTATTAAAGAAAGTATATTCCTAGCTTGAAAACCTATCTATATGACAGCAACAGGCTCATATACATGTTAACTGATAAATTATATCAAACATTTAAAGCATAAAAAAGAAGGAACACTTCTCCCCACATTTTAGGAAATCAACATTGGGGTAAAAACTAAAATACTAAAACTGGTTAAAGATAATAGAAGAAAAAAGTATGAACATAGATAAAAATTTGTTTAACAAAACAAACTATTAGAAGTCAGGCCTGGGATTTAGCTCAGTGGTTCTGCCGCCTGCCTTGAAAGCTTAAGGTCCCAAGTTCAATCCTTGGTACCAAAAAAAAATAAAAGAATACATTAGGTGGGGATTTAGCTCAGTGGTTTCGCTGCCTGGTGCATAAATGCAAGGACCCAAGTTTGATCCCCGGTACAAAAAAAAAAGAAATAAGTACTATTTGCCGGGGATTTAGCTCAGTGGTTCTGCTGCCTGCCTCACAAGCGCAAGGTCCTGAGTTTGATCTTCAGTACCAAAAAAACCCAAAAAAAGTCAGATCTGGCAGTATGTAGAAAGTGGTTTTATTGTAGGGAAGGCAGTGTTGATTCAGCATTGGAAGA